CGGGGTTGAGGAGGCGCTCACGGGGTTGAGGAGGCGCTCACGGGGTTGAGGAGGCGCTCACGGGGTTGAGGAGGCGCTCACGGGGTTGAGGAGGCGCTCACGGGGTTGAGGAGGCGCTCACGGGGTTGAGGAGGCGCTCACGGGGTTGAGGAGGCGCTCACGGGGTTGAGGAGGCGCTCACGGGGTTGAGGAGGCGCTCACGGGGTTGAGGAGGCGCTCACGGGGTTGAGGAGGCGCTCACGGGGTTGAGGAGGCGCTCACGGGGTTGAGGAGGCGCTCACGGGGTTGAGGAGGCGCTCACGGGGTTGAGGAGGCGCTCACGGGGTTGAGGAGGCGCTCACGGGGTTGAGGAGGCGCTCACGGGGTTGAGGAGGCGCTCACGGGGTTGAGGAGGCGCTCACGGGGTTGAGGAGGCGCTCACGGGGTTGAGGAGGCGCTCACGGGGTTGAGGAGGCGCTCACGGGGTTGAGGAGGCGCTCACGGGGTTGAGGAGGCGCTCACGGGGTTGAGGAGGCGCTCACGGGGTTGAGGAGGCGCTCACGGGGTTGAGGAGGCGCTCACGGGGTTGAGGAGGCGCTCACGGGGTTGAGGAGGCGCTCACGGGGTTGAGGAGGCGCTCACGGGGTTGAGGAGGCGCTCACGGGGTTGAGGAGGCGCTCACGGGGTTGAGGAGGCGCTCACGGGGTTGAGGAGGCGCTCACGGGGTTGAGGAGGCGCTCACGGGGTTGAGGAGGCGCTCACGGGGTTGAGGAGGCGCTCACGGGGTTGAGGAGGCGCTCACGGGGTTGAGGAGGCGCTCACGGGGTTGAGGAGGCGCTCACGGGGTTGAGGAGGCGCTCACGGGGTTGAGGAGGCGCTCACGGGGTTGAGGAGGCGCTCACGGGGTTGAGGAGGCGCTCACGGGGTTGAGGAGGCGCTCACGGGGTTGAGGAGGCGCTCACGGGGTTGAGGAGGCGCTCACGGGGTTGAGGAGGCGCTCACGGGGTTGAGGAGGCGCTCACGGGGTTGAGGAGGCGCTCACGGGGTTGAGGAGGCGCTCACGGGGTTGAGGAGGCGCTCACGGGGTTGAGGAGGCGCTCACGGGGTTGAGGAGGCGCTCACGGGGTTGAGGAGGCGCTCACGGGGTTGAGGAGGCGCTCACGGGGTTGAGGAGGCGCTCACGGGGTTGAGGAGGCGCTCACGGGGTTGAGGAGGCGCTCACGGGGTTGAGGAGGCGCTCACGGGGTTGAGGAGGCGCTCACGGGGTTGAGGAGGCGCTCACGGGGTTGAGGAGGCGCTCACGGGGTTGAGGAGGCGCTCACGGGGTTGAGGAGGCGCTCACGGGGTTGAGGAGGCGCTCACGGGGTTGAGGAGGCGCTCACGGGGTTGAGGAGGCGCTCACGGGGTTGAGGAGGCGCTCACGGGGTTGAGGAGGCGCTCACGGGGTTGAGGAGGCGCTCACGGGGTTGAGGAGGCGCTCACGGGGTTGAGGAGGCGCTCACGGGGTTGAGGAGGCGCTCACGGGGTTGAGGAGGCGCTCACGGGGTTGAGGAGGCGCTCACGGGGTTGAGGAGGCGCTCACGGGGTTGAGGAGGCGCTCACGGGGTTGAGGAGGCGCTCACGGGGTTGAGGAGGCGCTCACGGGGTTGAGGAGGCGCTCACGGGGTTGAGGAGGCGCTCACGGGGTTGAGGAGGCGCTCACGGGGTTGAGGAGGCGCTCACGGGGTTGAGGAGGCGCTCACGGGGTTGAGGAGGCGCTCACGGGGTTGAGGAGGCGCTCACGGGGTTGAGGAGGCGCTCACGGGGTTGAGGAGGCGCTCACGGGGTTGAGGAGGCGCTCACGGGGTTGAGGAGGCGCTCACGGGGTTGAGGAGGCGCTCACGGGGTTGAGGAGGCGCTCACGGGGTTGAGGAGGCGCTCACGGGGTTGAGGAGGCGCTCACGGGGTTGAGGAGGCGCTCACGGGGTTGAGGAGGCGCTCACGGGGTTGAGGAGGCGCTCACGGGGTTGAGGAGGCGCTCACGGGGTTGAGGAGGCGCTCACGGGGTTGAGGAGGCGCTCACGGGGTTGAGGAGGCGCTCACGGGGTTGAGGAGGCGCTCACGGGGTTGAGGAGGCGCTCACGGGGTTGAGGAGGCGCTCACGGGGTTGAGGAGGCGCTCACGGGGTTGAGGAGGCGCTCACGGGGTTGAGGAGGCGCTCACGGGGTTGAGGAGGCGCTCACGGGGTTGAGGAGGCGCTCACGGGGTTGAGGAGGCGCTCACGGGGTTGAGGAGGCGCTCACGGGGTTGAGGAGGCGCTCACGGGGTTGAGGAGGCGCTCACGGGGTTGAGGAGGCGCTCACGGGGTTGAGGAGGCGCTCACGGGGTTGAGGAGGCGCTCACGGGGTTGAGGAGGCGCTCACGGGGTTGAGGAGGCGCTCACGGGGTTGAGGAGGCGCTCACGGGGTTGAGGAGGCGCTCACGGGGTTGAGGAGGCGCTCACGGGGTTGAGGAGGCGCTCACGGGGTTGAGGAGGCGCTCACGGGGTTGAGGAGGCGCTCACGGGGTTGAGGAGGCGCTCACGGGGTTGAGGAGGCGCTCACGGGGTTGAGGAGGCGCTCACGGGGTTGAGGAGGCGCTCACGGGGTTGAGGAGGCGCTCACGGGGTTGAGGAGGCGCTCACGGGGTTGAGGAGGCGCTCACGGGGTTGAGGAGGCGCTCACGGGGTTGAGGAGGCGCTCACGGGGTTGAGGAGGCGCTCACGGGGTTGAGGAGGCGCTCACGGGGTTGAGGAGGCGCTCACGGGGTTGAGGAGGCGCTCACGGGGTTGAGGAGGCGCTCACGGGGTTGAGGAGGCGCTCACGGGGTTGAGGAGGCGCTCACGGGGTTGAGGAGGCGCTCACGGGTTGAGGAGGCGCTCACGGGGTTGAGGAGGCGCTCACGGGGTTGAGGAGGCGCTCACGGGGTTGAGGAGGCGCTCACGGGGTTGAGGAGGCGCTCACGGGGTTGAGGAGGCGCTCACGGGGTTGAGGAGGCGCTCACGGGGTTGAGGAGGCGCTCACGGGGTTGAGGAGGCGCTCACGGGGTTGAGGAGGCGCTCACGGGGTTGAGGAGGCGCTCACGGGGTTGAGGAGGCGCTCACGGGGTTGAGGAGGCGCTCACGGGGTTGAGGAGGCGCTCACGGGGTTGAGGAGGCGCTCACGGGGTTGAGGAGGCGCTCACGGGGTTGAGGAGGCGCTCACGGGGTTGAGGAGGCGCTCACGGGGTTGAGGAGGCGCTCACGGGGTTGAGGAGGCGCTCACGGGGTTGAGGAGGCGCTCACGGGGTTGAGGAGGCGCTCACGGGGTTGAGGAGGCGCTCACGGGGTTGAGGAGGCGCTCACGGGGTTGAGGAGGCGCTCACGGGGTTGAGGAGGCGCTCACGGGGTTGAGGAGGCGCTCACGGGGTTGAGGAGGCGCTCACGGGGTTGAGGAGGCGCTCACGGGGTTGAGGAGGCGCTCACGGGGTTGAGGAGGCGCTCACGGGGTTGAGGAGGCGCTCACGGGGTTGAGGAGGCGCTCACGGGGTTGAGGAGGCGCTCACGGGGTTGAGGAGGCGCTCACGGGGTTGAGGAGGCGCTCACGGGGTTGAGGAGGCGCTCACGGGGTTGAGGAGGCGCTCACGGGGTTGAGGAGGCGCTCACGGGGTTGAGGAGGCGCTCACGGGGTTGAGGAGGCGCTCACGGGGTTGAGGAGGCGCTCACGGGGTTGAGGAGGCGCTCACGGGGTTGAGGAGGCGCTCACGGGGTTGAGGAGGCGCTCACGGGGTTGAGGAGGCGCTCACGGGGTTGAGGAGGCGCTCACGGGGTTGAGGAGGCGCTCACGGGGTTGAGGAGGCGCTCACGGGGTTGAGGAGGCGCTCACGGGGTTGAGGAGGCGCTCACGGGGTTGAGGAGGCGCTCACGGGGTTGAGGAGGCGCTCACGGGGTTGAGGAGGCGCTCACGGGGTTGAGGAGGCGCTCACGGGGTTGAGGAGGCGCTCACGGGGTTGAGGAGGCGCTCACGGGGTTGAGGAGGCGCTCACGGGGTTGAGGAGGCGCTCACGGGGTTGAGGAGGCGCTCACGGGGTTGAGGAGGCGCTCACGGGGTTGAGGAGGCGCTCACGGGGTTGAGGAGGCGCTCACGGGGTTGAGGAGGCGCTCACGGGGTTGAGGAGGCGCTCACGGGGTTGAGGAGGCGCTCACGGGGTTGAGGAGGCGCTCACGGGGTTGAGGAGGCGCTCACGGGGTTGAGGAGGCGCTCACGGGGTTGAGGAGGCGCTCACGGGGTTGAGGAGGCGCTCACGGGGTTGAGGAGGCGCTCACGGGGTTGAGGAGGCGCTCACGGGGTTGAGGAGGCGCTCACGGGGTTGAGGAGGCGCTCACGGGGTTGAGGAGGCGCTCACGGGGTTGAGGAGGCGCTCACGGGGTTGAGGAGGCGCTCACGGGGTTGAGGAGGCGCTCACGGGGTTGAGGAGGCGCTCACGGGGTTGAGGAGGCGCTCACGGGGTTGAGGAGGCGCTCACGGGGTTGAGGAGGCGCTCACGGGGTTGAGGAGGCGCTCACGGGGTTGAGGAGGCGCTCACGGGGTTGAGGAGGCGCTCACGGGGTTGAGGAGGCGCTCACGGGGTTGAGGAGGCGCTCACGGGGTTGAGGAGGCGCTCACGGGGTTGAGGAGGCGCTCACGGGGTTGAGGAGGCGCTCACGGGGTTGAGGAGGCGCTCACGGGGTTGAGGAGGCGCTCACGGGGTTGAGGAGGCGCTCACGGGGTTGAGGAGGCGCTCACGGGGTTGAGGAGGCGCTCACGGGGTTGAGGAGGCGCTCACGGGGTTGAGGAGGCGCTCACGGGGTTGAGGAGGCGCTCACGGGGTTGAGGAGGCGCTCACGGGGTTGAGGAGGCGCTCACGGGGTTGAGGAGGCGCTCACGGGGTTGAGGAGGCGCTCACGGGGTTGAGGAGGCGCTCACGGGGTTGAGGAGGCGCTCACGGGGTTGAGGAGGCGCTCACGGGGTTGAGGAGGCGCTCACGGGGTGGAGCGCACTTGGTCGCACGTCATGGGCGCGGGCAGTGACACCGTGTTGCTCGCCTTGGTGGCTGTGCGGGCCCACACACACGGGGACAGGACAGGGGAGAAGGAGGGGTAGCAGGGTTGCAGGGCATTGGGAGCAGGCAGAGGAGGGGAAGGAGAGAGTTGGTGGTTGTAGGAGGGAGTGTGAGGGGAGCGACGGGGGCAGGGCGATTTTGATGAAGAGTGTTTTGCGTGTGCGTGAATGAAGAGGGTGTGATGCAGCAAGGAGAGGTGAGGAGAAGGGAATAGGAGAATGGAGAGAGTGAGGAGTGGGAGACAGGAAGTGGGAGGAGAGTGAGAGGAGGGGGTGCGAGTGCGTGCGTGTGCATGTGTATGAGGCAAGGCGGCGTACCAGGGACGCAGGTGACAGTGGCGTCGGTGCGCATGCCCTGCGTAAAGCCCGTGGAGCACAGGCACCAGTACCCGCCCGCGTTGTTGTCCACACACGTGCCAAACCCACACGGGTTCATCGCGTAGAACGCACACACCTTGGCTGCCAGGGGGACGAGGGGGCCAAGGGAGAGGACGGGCGACAAGGGGAGGACGGGGGGTCGCGAATGGAAGACGGGATGAGGGGAGGGGCCGCGGGAAAAAGGGTGCAGGGTGGTGGGGGGGGGGGGCAAAGGCAGTGTAAGAATAAGGAGGGACAAGGCAGAGAGAGAAGGGGCGGACTACGCCTGAACACACATCCAGCAGGCCATGTAGAGAGAGGGGGGGGGGGGGGGGAGAGAGAGAGGGGAAGGGGAGCAAGAGAGAGGTGGAGGGGGGAGAGAGAGAGGGGAGGGGGGGAAGAGAGAGAGGAGGGGGGAGAGGGCGGGAGGGCACACACCAGGGGCGCAGGTCTGAGTCTTGTCGATGTTGGTGACGGGGATGAAGTTGTTGGGGCACGTGCACGTGTTCACCTGCTTCTTGCTGGCAGCCCCCACCGTCGCCTTGCACGTGCCGCCGCCGCACGGGTTGATGGGCCCGCACGGGTCTGGGCCTGTTGTTGCACCATGAGGGTGGGTGGGACGAGGGGAGGGGAGGGGGGACGAGGACGAGGGAGGAGAGGCCGTCAGGAGGGAGAAAGCAGGGGAAACGTTTGCAGGGTGGGTGGGAGGGAGAGGCACAGGGGGTGTGGGGGAGCGGGCAGCAGCAGCAGTCGCACAGAACGAATGGGACCAAATGGTGGACAGACAGGCAGGCAGGCGGGTCAGGGCAACAGCGGGTGAAAGAGGCGAGGCGGCGAGGTAGGCGGCAGGCGGCAGCAGCTGACCAAGAATGGTGGGGTAGAGGGCAGGCATTGTGTTGACGCCACTCACACCACTTTCGAGTCGACTCAAAACGACAACAGCAGGTGACAGAGGCAAGGCGAGGAAAGGCGAGGGGAGGGAGGAGGCAAGGCGAGGCAGCGTGGCAAGGGCAGCAGTACTGACCGAGAATGGTAGGGTAGATGGCGGGCATTGCGTTGACGCCACACACACCGCTCCCGCCTGCAATGGCGAGCTGCATGTAGCCCTGGTCGCCCCAGCCCGCGCCCCACGAGTTGCGCACGAGCCACAGCGGCGGCGCGGCCAGCAGGTCGTAGCCCACAATGACGACCGCATGGTTCACCACCTGGTTGGCGAAACACGCCGGGTCGTTGTACGTGAAACCCTGAGGGCGACAAGGAGGGAGGGGCGAGGGGGAGGAGGGGATGGGGGGCGATGAGGGAAGAGACAGGAGGTGGGTGGAGGGGGATTAAGAGCAGGAGAGGGTAGCGAGGCACGGGAGGGGGAGGAGCGGAAGCGAGCGACGGGGAGGGAGGGAGGCAATTCAAGCACAGAAGAGCAGAACAGTGTCCCACTCATTCCAGGTCAGGAGATTCATCATACAGCACGTGACTCACCCCGGGGTAGGAGATGAATGACTCCTGGTCCGCCTCCACGTACGCCACCACGGGCTGCTGCTGCACGGCGAGAGCCATGCCCATCCACCCGGGCACGGACACCTGCTCGTACGACGCAATGCTGAACGGCCCCGTCGCCATCTGCGCCTCCGAGAAGCGCGCCCGCGTCACCACCACCCCGCGCGTGGATCTGCGATGCGCTGCTGCTGCTGGCTGCGCTGCTGTGGATAGTCGCCGCGCTGGGGCTGGCTCCGCCTGCGCCTGCGCCTGTGCCTGCACGTGCGGCTGCGTGGGCAGCAGCGGGTTGTCGAGGCTGAGGAGGAAGCGCACATTGCGCTTGGTGGAGCGGCGAGACACGGTCTGGCTCCGGTGGAACGGGAGGGGGGGCGGCAGAGGGACGGGAGGAGCGGGAGAGGAGGGAGGGTGGGGGTGGGGGTAATGCCGGGAAGGTGGCATAGTGAGGTGAAGGTGGTGTTGGGAGTAAGGGGCGGCGACTAGTGTGAGGGTCAAGGGGGAGATTCCCAACGGCAACCGAGAGCGCCAAGCACGAGAGGCAGTCACCACCAAATCGGAGATCCCATCAGCGCCACTTACCTTTCCCCCCATCTCTCCCTTCTTCCCAGAAGGCTCAAAGCAACGTCCCAGTCAACTTCCCTGCCAGGCCTCCCCCATCTCCTCTCCCAACCCCACTCCTTTCCCCTCCCGCTCACCCTCCCCCTCTTCCTCCCCCTCCCCCTCTTCCTCCCCCTCCCCCTCCCCCAGCGCGCACACTCACCCGGCAGGACGAGGGCGAGAAGATGCCGGTATACGGGTAGTTGACGGCGAGAGGCAGGCCGCCGCTAGACGCAATGTAGTTGAAGGCGTGGGCGGGGTAGCCGCCCGCGCAGCTCCACTGGCCCTGGCAGTCCACCACGCGCTGCTCCGACACGTTGGGCGCCGCTGCCCCGTATGTTATCGCGTACAGCGCCTCTGTTGCCGCCACTGACGCGAACGCCCAGCACGATGCTGCGGAGGGGGGGAGGGGGGAAAAGGGAAACTTTTGAGACACGTTGGGCGCCGCTGCCCCGTACGTTATCGCGTTTAGGGCCTCTGTCGCTGCCACTGGCGCGAACGCCCAGCAGGACGCTGCGGAGTGGGGAGCGAAGAGGGCGGGAAGGGGAAGGGGAAGGGGAAAGGGGGTATGAGGGGGGAGGGGGGAGGAGGGGAATGAGGTTGTGGCAGGGTGTGGAGCGGAGTGAGAAGGTGTGGTTGTGGCTGTCTGCTGTGAGCGAAAGCGTGAGGGAGGGTGCGCGTTTGTACGAGCAGGGAAAGCAAACAGCAAAACAGCATCAAGCATGGGGGAGAGCCGGGGGGGAGTAAGGGGAAGGGCGTGCGGTGCGGTGCAGAAGCGGTGCGGTGCAGGGGGCAACGCGGAAAGGTATAAGGCGGTACGAAGTATGGGGGGGGGGGGGGGGTAGGGCGGGTAAAAGGAGCAAGGAAGCACTGACAGCAGAAGCCTTGGTCCTTGGCGGGCAGCAGCGGGGAGGGCAGCACGGCGCGCCAGTCCACAGCGTTGGTGAAGTTCCAGGTGGGCGAGGAGTAGTTGCCTGTGAAGCCCTTGGACAGGTGCCGGAAGTACTTGTTGGAATACGTGCCCGATGGCAGCGCGGGTGTTGTGCCCGTGAATACCACCCCGCGGTACCCTGTTGAGGGGGGAGACACGGGGAGAAGGAAGGGGGGGGGACTTTGGGTTGACTGGGAAGTGCTTGTTGGAGTAGGTGCCGGATGGCAGGACCGCGGTGGTGCCTGTGAACACCACTCCACGGAACCCCGTTGAAGGGGAGCGGGAGGGGGAACAAGGGATGGGGTGTGGGAGGAGATGGGAGGGGGGGTGCGGCGAGGACGTGAGGGGATCAAGAGGGGGTGGATGGGTGCGAGCACGCATGGGGGCACGGTGAATGCAGCACGGAGAATGCAGCACGGTGTATGCAGCACGGTGAATGCAGCACGGTGCATGCAGCACGGTGAGCTGTGGTGATGCTTACCTCTCTTGCGGCGCTCCGTGCTGTCAATGGGCGGCGGTGTGGCTGGAAGGGGTCAAAGGGCGGAGAGGGCAGGTGGAAGAGGGGAGAGAAGCACAGAGGGAAACAAGCAGATTAGGTGATTGCAAAGGCTACTGTGAGAGCAGGTGGGAGCAGGTGGGAGTGCCGCAATGGAGAGGGATGGCATGTGGGAGAGGCTGAAATGGAAAGTCCACGTGGACAGCGAAAGATGCAAAGCAAGAGAAAGAGGAGGAACTGGGGAAGGGGAGGCAGGCGGGAGGCAGGCAAGGGTGAATGCAGGCTGTAGGCAGGGCAAGGCAGGGCAAGGGAGTGGATACTTACGAGGAGGGGGCGTGCCGGGGTTGGGCGAGCAGGAGGGGTAGGTGACAGTGGAAGAGCCAACGGTAACAGAGAGAATGACGTTGTACATGCCGTTGTTGCACACACACGCCGGCACATACGAGGCACCATCCAGCACGCACATCCCCAGCCCCCCGCACGGCCCCGCTGCCAGAGCCGCACCGCAGAACGACACACACTCCACCGGCCGCTTCTGATCCTCCGTCTCGCATCCCCCGCTGCTGCTACCACCGCTGCCGCTGTCGCCGTTGCTGCTGCCCCCGCGGCCCCACCCTCTCCCGCGGTGGACATAGCTCTGGGAGTAGTTCCAGTCGCCGGCCAGGAAGCAATTATCCCGCAGGCTGCTGGTGGCGGTGGCGCCAAAGGGTAGGAGATTGGCGGAGGAGTAGCCGCCAGAGAGGTCGGAGGGGCAGAAGGGGGAGGACTTGGCGGAGAAGGAGGAGGGGAGCGTGGTGAAGTAGTTGGAGCTGAGGTCGTAGACCGCTTGTGACGTGGATGCGAGGGACTGGGAGGAGAAAGAGCTTAGCGGCGTTCCTGTGAAGGCGTTGCGGCTTAGGTCGCTGGGTGGGGAGGGGGGAAGGGTGAGGAGGTGGGGAGCAAGGAAGCGGGGAATAAGGGGGGGAGAATGAGGGAGGGAGAGTGAGTGGGGAGAGCAGTGGGGGTTCCGTGGAAGGCATACAGAGGGTGAGAGCGGCGAGCTCGGAAGGGAGAGGAGAAAAGGGAAGGGAGAGAAGGGAGGGGAGATGGGAGGCAACGAGCAGAGAACGGAGGGCGGAGATTGGAGGGCGGAGAGCGGAGGGCGGAGATTGGAGGGCGGAGAGCGGAGGGCGGAGAGCGGAGAGCGGAGGGCGGAGAGCGGAGGGCGGAGAGCGGAGGGCGGAGAGCGGAGGGCGGAGATTGGAGGGCGGAGAGCGGAGGGCGGAGAGCGGAGGGCGGAGAGCGGAGGAGAGCGGAGAGCGGAGAGCGGAGAGCGGAGAGCGAGCCGTACAGGTGAACGAGGTTGGAGAGAGTGGCGAGCGCTGCAGGCATGGCACCGTAGAAACGGTTGTTGCTCAGGTCCCTGTGACCGGCGCACATGCACATGCACAACACAACGCGCACGCACAACACACACACACACACACACACACACACACACACACACACGGGCAGGGGGTAGGTATGGTTAAAGGTGTAAAAACGAATACGGTTTTGAATACGGTTTTTTATACAAATATTTTACGAATAGTAGGCAATTTCGTATTTGGCCGAATAGCCCTGTTCTACCGAATCCGAATACGGTTCAAATGGCTGGTTCACGAATACTGTTCGAATACTGTCGAATACGAATACGAATACGGTTTTTACCATACACAGAACCTTGGGCCAGGGTTCTTAATAGGCCGTAAGCACCGCCGGTGCTTCCATTGCTGATGATATGAGTGAAACATAAGAAATGCACCTTCAGAAATCTAGGAGCATACCGATTGAAATAGTCGAATACTTATACGAATATCCGAATATTCGGCTGGCGAATACCGAATATGTCGAACAGTCAGTTATCGAATAAAAGTCGAATAGGCAGTGATTTCGTATTCGTTTTTTATTTGGTATTTGTCGAATACCGAATACGAATACGAAAATGCTGGTATTTGTTTACACCTTTAGGTATGGTGTGAGTTGCAACAGAGAGAAAGGGGTGGAGAAGGAGAGAGAAAGGGATGGATCGAGACAGGAGAAAGATGCACGGAGGATAAAGGGAAGGGGGGACGAAGTAGTGACATTCCATGATCCATCCAGCCGACCCGCCTGCATGCCCCACAGCCCACTCCCGTGCCCCGTGACCCCACCCACCCAACAGCCACACTCCACACGCCACACCCCCTGACCAGCACTCCACACCCCATGCACCCCATGCACCCCATGCGCCCCAGGCGAGAGGCGGGAGGCGAGAGGCGAGAGGCGAGTGGAGAGAGGGCGCATGGCGGAGCGGAACGCACAGTGCTTTGAGCGCCTTGAGCCCGCTCACAGACGCCGGCAGGACGCCTGTCAGCTGGTTGCGGCCCAGCATGCTGGCACACCACAGGGGTACACACACGCCAGGCACACCCGGCACACACGGCGGTGACGAGCAGAAACAAGGGGCAAAGGAGGGGTTTGAGTGTCCAGGAAGCGAGAGGAGAGGGTGAGGAGACTTGGATGGTGACATTGGAGGAGCAAACGAGGTGGCAGCAGGTGGGATGGGAGGAGAGAGGTGGCATGGCAGGGAGGGAGGGAGTGATGCAAGGCAGACGCGCGCGCAGTGGAGAGTGGAGGAGGGCGGTGGCGGAAATCAGGCGCAGGGACAAGTGGGAGAGAAAAGGCGGAAAGAAGCAGAGCCGAGCGCGGGGAGAGCATGAGGGAAAGAGCGCGCGGAGAGCGCGGGGAGAGCATGAGGGAAAGAGCGCGCGGAGAGCGCGGGGAGAGCATGAGGGAAAGAGCGCGCGGAGAGCGCGGGGAGAGGGCGGGGAGAGCGCGGGGAGAGAGCGGCTCACAGGAGCTGCAGGTTGGAGAGCGAGAAGAGGGAGTTGGGCAGCGAGCCATTGAGTGAGTTGAGTGCCACCGCTCTGGTGGGGGGACGGGGTGGGGGAGGGGTGGAGAGGAGAATGGGAAAAGAAAGGGAGAGGTTGAGAGAAGGGAGGAGAGGGCGCAAGGCGCAAGGGGGGGGAGGGGGGGGAGCGATAAGCAGAGGGCACTGGAGTCAGGCAGGAGAGCTGGCAGTGGAGCGGATGCTTCTGCGTGGCGTGGCGTGGCGTGGCGTGGCGCGGTGTGGTGTGGTGTGGTGACCTGCGTGTGGGTGCATGCATGCGGTGGCACGAAGGGGTTGAGCAGGCAGCTGCGAGTGACAGCAGCACGGGTAGGTTGCTCGCGGGGAACCAAGAGAGGGGGGAGGCGCGGGGGAGGGGAAGGCTTTCGAGAATCCAATCCACAAAGGCGCGGAGGAAGGGAAGGCGCGGAGGAAGGGAAGGCGAGGGCGAGCGCGTACAAGGTTGCGAGGCTGGGCATGGCAGTGAAGGCGTCTGGCACTGAACCCGTGAGCGCATTGGCCGTGAGATCCCTGTGATGACGCACACACACGCACACACGCACACACACACGCACACATGAGCGCACACACACGCAAACATGCACATACACACGCACACATACACACACACACGTGCACATGCGCGCACACACGCACAACCATACACGCATGAGAGCGAGCGCAGACACGCGGAGCCACAGAGGCACGGAGGAGAGGAATTGGTCTGGGGCCGCATAGCAGGGAGGCACGAGCAAAGCAAGCACGCATGCGAGCATGGAGACAAGCGAAGGGGGGCGGGGTGGGGATGTGGAGGCGCGGATGTGGGGGAAGAGACGTGGGGAATGGGGACGGGCGGAGAAAAGGGCTGGGCGTGTAGGGGGAACGGAGGGGCAAGCGAGAGAGAGGGTAAAGGCGAAGGTTGACGGGCAAGGGCCGAGGGGCGAGGGGCGAGGGGCGGGGAAGGGCGAGGAAGGGCGAGGAAGGGCGAGGAAGGGCGAGGCGAGGCGTACAGGAATCGGAGGTTGACGAGGCGACTGATGCCCATGGGGATGGAGCCGTTGTGCTGATTGCCGCTCAGCGACCTGCGCGCGGAGGGCGGAGGACATGCGCGACCAGGAGAAGGGGAACGCAGGGGAGTGGCGCAGTAGGCAGGAGAGACAGTGAGGGGGAGCGGGGTGGAAGGGGAGAGGCGAGGCGGACTTGCATGAGCCAGTGGGGCACAAGGAGGCGAGGCGAGGCGAGGGGAGGGGCGAGGCGAGGCGAGGGTCGGCGAGGGTCGATGAGGAAAGATAGACGAGATGCAGGTCGGAGGAAGTGAGGTGAGCGAGGTGCCACGAGGGCATGTGTGTGCTGTGCTGTGTGGCATGAGCGCGAGGGACGGCGAGGTGACTGCCGTGAGCATGGAATGCGCTCAGAGCGCCGTCACACGTGACTGCGCGCCGACCCAGCAGCGCACCAGTTGGACAGCAATGCAGCAAGACACGGCGGCACGGCTGCACGGCGGCACGGCGGCATGGCGGCACGGCGGCATGGCGGCACGGCGGCATGGCGGCACGGCTGCATGGCGGCACGGCGGCATGGCGGCACGATGGCATGCAGCAGCAGCGTACACGTTGGTGAGGGCGGTGAGGAAGGAGATGTCGTCGGGGATGGGCCCCGTGAGAAGATTGTGATCCAACGCGCTGTGGCACATGGAAGCACCGGGGGAGCGGGGGGGAGAGAGCCAGGGATGTGTGATGGGCGCAGGGGAAGGGTGTGAGGGCCATGGCATGTCGTGGCGCACAAGTAAGTTAAGCCGTGCAAACGGACACGCGACGCGGCAAGCGTGAAGGAAGAGCGCGCGTCGTTCGAGAGGCGCACGAGACGCCGCGGAGCACGGAACGGGGGAGGGGGAAGGGGAAGGAAGGAAGCGAGCATAGCAGCGAGAGACGATGGCGTGGGGAGGTTGAAGGCGAGAGGTGAAGGGAGAGAGAGAGAGGAGGGGAGAGGACTGACAGTGTCTGCAGCGCCTGCAGCTGGGTGACGGCCGCGGGGATGGATTGCCCGCCCAGACTGCGCTGCCCCGTGATCACCCTGCCGTGCGCGCGCGCACACACACGCAAACAACCGGACACGCACACAGGTCGCACAGAGTGGGACGGGGAGCAAACGAGGAGAGGAGGTGAGGTCGTTGGGACGACAGCAGCGACGACATGCTTTCGTCGCATGGCTCGTGCGACGGGAAGCGACGATGCGGAGAACGACGAGTCGAGGCAAGCGAAGCACCACGCGGTAACAATATAAGACCGCGGCACGGCACGCAGCGCCAAAGCGGGGCGGGGCGGGGCGGGACGGTGAGAGGCGCGGCGGAGAGGCGCGGAACCAAGGGGAGCGGGATAGTGGCGCTCACAAGCTGGTGACCTGGCCCATGGCGTTGCACGAGAGGCCGAACCACGTGCTGCACTCCTTCCCCGCCACCCACGTCTGGTTCAGCGCCGTCAGGTTGCGCCCCCACGCCGCCGCTATCGCGGTGAGCGCGGTCACTGCGGGGAAGGGGAGCGGGGGAGGGGGTGGGAGAGGAGGACGGGGAGGAGGGGAGGAATAGGGGAAGAAAGGGGAGTGAGAAGGGCAGAGAGCGGACCGGGGGGTTGAGAGAAGCAAGAGCGGAGAGGGGAGAGGAGAGTGCGACGCACGGAGAGATGGTGATGTTCTTACAAGTCGGCAAACGAACTACTTCGACAGATGTGATGGCATGGCGCTCGCGCAGGGCGAGCGGGACCGCAAGAGCGAGTGTGCGGCAGTGCGGCGGTACCGCAGCGGGGAAGTGGAACGACGAGAAAGACGAGCGATGGGAGGGAGGAGACGCGCGAGGTGAGGCGACGCGCGAGGTGGAGCGAGCGGGAGAGAGGTGCGGGTAGCGTGAGCGGGCGACGGGAGGCGCAGCGCCGCGGGTGACGGACTCACGCTGAGAGCTGGCGACGGGCTGCGCGGAGGCGCATTGGAGGGTGCAGGCGAGGACGAGGAAGAGCGCGAGGGGGAGGACGGCAAGGGGGTGAGAAGACGAGCGCGCAGGAGAGTGGGGCGCCATGATGAGCAGAAACGTCGTTGGCAGCGGCGCGGCGAGACGGGGAGTGTTGGCGGCGGAATCTAATCGGCGGCGAGCAGTGTTGCCAGATCCGACGGCGGAAATCAAGCGGAAGAACAAAAGATCTACTAAACCTGGTGGATGGAGTGAGTGACGCGGGAATGGGAGGAAAGAAAGGAAAAAAGGCACAAATTTGCAGGGTTTCGGTCGCAGGCGTGAGAGAGCACCATCGGGTCGCGGCGGATCTCGGTCAGACGTGGCAGCGCGATACTGTGCCGTGTCACGCGGTGAGTTCTTAATGACGCGGCGCGATTAGGCTGGATCCTATTATGGAGTGGACGGTGGGACGTGAGCGGGACGGGCGCGGCCCATGATGTGCCGGCCGGGACTGACGGCGGAATATGAAATCTAGAGGGATCGGGACGGCAACGAGTTTTCAAATCGTTGCGCTTTCGCTGTCTCTGCCCAGCCCACCCCACCCTGCAGCCGCTACCATTGGTACAGACCCATTCTTTTCCGCCATAGCACCAGTCACTGGTACTAAGGTCGCGAGAGCAAGCGGTTCCGTGTCGTGCACTGTACCAGCACTGTTCACCGACGGAGAAGGGCGGTGCGAGTGCGACTGCTACTACGGCTTCTGGCAGGGCCTCGCGACTACTGCGCGGTCCCAATGCCATCCCGTTGCCGTCTCATTGCCGTCCCACTGTTGTCCCTTTGCCGTCCCATTGCCGTCCCGTGCGGGCGTCGCCCGAAACGCACAAAAGTTACTGTTTTGAGGCACCTCAAAACTACACACGAGTCTCTGTCCCCCTACCTTGCCTTCCGTTCTTTTCCTCGTAGCCACGGGCGGTTGAAGCATGTCGCGACGCTAAGCGACTATCTAGTACGCGCCTGCACGGTATCCTAAGAACGAACCCCCCCGTGCGCCGACGCGCCTACTACTGCGCAGCGACGAAGGGCGCGAGAGACGCACCTGAGGCGGAGAGACCTATTAGGGCTAGGAGCACTGAGAGAGCCACGTGTCACTCTTGATAGACGGCCGGCGCCGCGATGGGTTTGGGGCACAGGGAGGGGTAAAGTATAGGCACGTGCATGGCGGCCAGGTGGAATACTACTAGCGGCGGGAACGGGTGTGTAGAGAGGTAGGGTTGCGTGGGCGTTGACGGACGAGGGTTGTTCGGCTGCTTGCAAGGTAAGATTGGTTAGGAGAGATGCTGACATAGTCTACAGATTGCGACGAGGGAACGAGGAAGGGTTGCATTGCAGGTTGCCGGGATTCCAATGCCATGTCAGAGGAGCAGAGGAGCAGCAAAGCAGCAAGCACAGGACAGAAGGGAACGCAACGCAATCCGAAGTTGGTGGTGAGGGAAGGGGAAGGGGGGAAGGGAAACAGTGGCACGCAGGGTTGGTGGGGGAAGGGGAAGGCTTCACTGCGAAAGAGCAAGAACTGGGAAATCCGAGGCGAGGGGCAGCGAGTTCATGGATTCGTGGTGCTTGGTGGGGGTTATTGTTGGGGCAGGACGCGGTCTTTGACCAGGCAAGGAGGAGTTTTGTTGCAGGAAGTCGTTTTGCGCTTTTGCAGTTTTTCCGCGTTTTGCGTTTTGCGTTTCTGTTCAACGTTTGTGTTACCTAGCAACTGACGATCGGACTTTCGTGGCACGTCTGCAAGCACCCCTTCCGTTCCGTTCACTGCTGCCACTTTGTTCGTACACTAATTTCAAGGCCCGAAATTGGGCGCTCGCGGGTAGCTACCCTTATTATGTCTGGGACCAAGGGTTGTACAGAGTGAAACATATTTTGAAGTAGGTAAGGTTTCGGACTCCTTGTGAGTGCGATGACGCAACGAAGGTCGCAACTAGAAAATTTTCCGGTCAGAGTGGGTGGTAAGCCTGATCCACTGAGGGATTTTTTGTTTTAAACAACCGTTGCGGAGAGTGTCCTCTATATCGTTTTGATTCTGGGTGTCTGAAAGATACGACCGAATCTGGTCTAGGGTGTCTCTGAAAACATTTTCCAGGGCTTGAAATTAGTGGAGCCCAGGTGTACTTCTGCTTCCACAACTTCCATGTAGCTGTTGTCCCTTTGAACAAACCAGCCACCAGCCTTGCCTGAAACAACTCCCTCGGGCAAACAAATCATCAGCACGCTGCTTGTGTACAGTTGGGCAGCAGAAAAACAAGGCATGCCGCAGAAGGTTTCCCAGATATGTACAGTGTTTTGGGGTGACAAAAGTTGTTGGTGTCGGCGGTCACCAACCAACCAACGTCAGTGACGAGGTGTGTGCAGGGCTCTCTTTTTCAGAATAGTTTACCCTGTTTGCCCTGCCAATCAGGGTGCGTTTTGAGCACTACTCTGCCAAAACAGGGTCCCCCCAGTAAGTCACCCGGCCAGAATCCGGCTTCCTTATATTTTTCACGGCTAAAGCCGGCTTGCCATCGTTTCACCCGGCCAGTTTGCTAAAGTGTTTCTGACAGTATCAGCCGAAGAAAATTTCCCTTGACAAGAAAAAACAAGTCCCGTGATTGTGCTGGTGTGTTTTGCCAAGCACCTTCTGTGTGTGAAAAGAGACAAAGTACAGAGACTCACAGCTGTAGAGCGAGCAACAACTCCAACTCACCTGTACAGCTGTTCTCATTGTGACAAGCCCACCAACTCTCTCTCAGGCAGAGTAGCGCCGAAAGTAACACTGCAAATCAGGGTCCCCGAACAAATTACCCTGCCTCTACCCTGATCTTTCCGCGCGCCACCCGGCCTTGGCCGGGTGGCGGGCGGCGGGAACCCTGATTTGGAAGAGCGCCCCAAAACGAAAAGAGAGCCCTGGGTGTGTGCATACGTCGGGACTCGGGGGGAGCCACCACTGGCAAGAGCCTCTTCCCCGAGAAACACCTCCCTGGTGGGTTGGCTTGTCTCGACGTGGAGCGAAGAAACGGCACTGCTGGGGAACAGCAAAACCGCCTGGGGAAAACTGAATGGAGCCCAAGCGAGGAGGAGTTGCACCCGATACTCTTTACACGTCACAAAACTGTTTGTCGCCATGTGAGGAACATCCCCACGTAAGGTTTTTTTCTTAGGTTGTATTCTCTATACAATTATACATAGAGCAAGCAGGTAGCAGGTTATATGGCCTATAGGCCAACTTCCTTTCACGAGTATGTGCTGGTTTTACCGAAGGATCAAAGCGGATAGGATAAGGTTGCTAAGTTAAAGGAAGGCAATGAAGTCTTGTGGTAACCATGTTAGTAATGATTGAAAGAGAACAAGATGACTATAAGATAAAAGTACAGGGTATAATTAACAAACGAACTAGCCATGTACTCTGAGGGGTGCATTCCCTTATTAAGGGTACATTCGTGTGTCGACATTTGTATCTCAATCACTTTGTGACACCCAAAAACAACATAAACTGTATTGTGTTCGAAATGCGAGTCGCGTTTCAACGACCAACACTGCATTTTTTATTGGTCAGCGTGAAACACGCTGACGTCGCAGTCGAGTTGAAAATCGACCCGGCACTGTCAGAAAGTCGCATGCGGTTCAAAATGTCAATGCACGTGGACACCCCATAATGCAAATTTCGCTCGGGAAAAAAACTCGAGCGTCAAAACAACATCCCAACCAAGTGGTTGAAGAAACGGGAGTACAGTACATTCTGAGACCCAGTCAAATGGGCACAACTGTGCATTTCGCCTGTTTGCCTAGTGTCGTGATACATCCTAAGTTTTAGACGCAATGTTCACAAAATGTATAGACGCGACTCGGGAAATATCGACACAAGAATGTACCCTAGATGTATTACCTAGTTACAGTACCGGCGACCATTGCCATCCTTGACAGTTACCATGTTGCATTGCGTAACCTCTAATGCGGTTGCCGGTCGGTCAACAGTCACGACCATTGAATTACAGCGACTGTTGACCTTTGGGTGACTCTCGAGTTGCCGCGTGCCCTATATGAGCATATCGCGATACCGGTACAGTGCGCTTGCTTCGTTATGAAGTGGCGTGCTAGGAGAGAACCTTCGGGAGTGTTATGATAACCTTTCGGTTATTCCAACACCCCGTTTCATTCTTTAAGGTGAGCCACGTAAAAGTTCTTTGAGACCCAGCAGAGGTTGGCGCAGTACTGAAACTTCTGACGTGCCAGTTTCTTGGTCAAGAAATTTGCTGCCATATCACCGGTTGGGCTGTACGTGAGTTTGACCTTGCCTTTGTCGATTTCGACCTTGACGAAGAAGTAACGGAGTGCGATGTGCTTCGTGCGGTTCACGAAGCCGGGCTTGTTCGCAATCTTGATTGGGCTTTGATTGTCACAGAGTAACGTAAAGTGCTCGTTCATTGTCACTTTCGCTTCCTGCAGGAGCTCCATCAGATACAGTCCTTCGCGGACAGCTCTACTGGCTGCAATGAACTCAGCTTCGACTAACGAAAGAGCAATGGTCCTGCTTCTGGGAGTTTCAGGAGATGAGTTCACCAGGTTGGAGTTGGAAAATGAAACATGTGCAGGAGCAGGTAAATATCTCCCGCATGATCAGCATTTACGTAGATGTGAAGCTTCAGAGTAGCAATCAAGTTAGCTTCATAGGTGAGTCCGACGTCAGGGGTGGAGATGAAGATTGGAGTGTTTGGCGTAGGTCCAATAGATTCTTTCCTTCAGGTACTGCGCAAGCTGGCTTGAAGTATTGGAGTGTTTGGCGTAGTATGGAGATACTGTGCGAGTTGGCTTGCGACGTAGGAGAGATCCGGGCGGCACATGACGGTGGCGAACAGGAGACACCCCAGCTGCTGCTGATAGAGCTGATGGTCTGCGATGGAGAGCGGCGTGGTGTCGGGTTCGTGATTAGGAGGAGGAGTGCGGAAGGGGGTGGTGAGATTGATTGGAGCGATGACAATTTTTTTCGCGAGCGTTTCCGCGTATTTGGCGGCAGAGAGATGAATGGAGGTGACGGACTAGGCAATGTTGAGACCCAGGAACTGTGTGACGTTGTGGTTGATTGTCACCTCGAGCTTCTCCTTAATTTCGTCTTTGAAACGGTCAAGTAGCTCCGCGCCGTCCCCGTTGTAAAGCAGGTCGTCGATATAGGCAACAAGAAGAATGATTTTGATGCGCGACTCCCTTCGGTACATATCTTGATCAT